AGACCATTAGTAAAGTATCATGCACCTGCCAGGTACAAAATGGCAGAGCCATTCCATGCTAATTGCTTTCTAGAAGCCAAAGGCTTCAAGTATTTGCTCATTAAATTTTTACACCAAGCTGAGGTCTTTGAATGGCTAAGACTGGGCAAGATATGTCCTTGGCTCAAGGTCACAGAACAAGAAAATGGCAAACAGGATCCTGAGCCCAGGGTACCTGACTCTGGGTCCTCAAAATCCCAGCTGCTACTGTTGTTGGTGCTCATTGAAGAAATTCCTGAAGCCAACCATCCCATTCTATAGTTTTATTTCTCTCTCTCTCTCTCTCTCTCTCTCTCTCTCTCTCTCTCTCTGTGTGTGTGTGTGTGTGTGTGTGTGTGTGTGGTGCAGGTACCTACAGAGGCTAGAAGAGGGACATTAGATTTTCCTGAATTATAGGTGGTTGTGAGCTGCCTAAACTAGGTGCTGGGAACTAAACTCAGGTCCTCTGTAGGAGCTGCACTCTTCTCATAACTGCTGGGCCATCTCTCTGACCCTTATCATTCCATTTTAATGCTGAGAAAACTGAGGCCCAGAAAAAGGAAGAAAAGTCTAGTTACAGATCTGCCACAAGCTTAAGGTTCCTATACAGTAGTTCTGAGATGTTTAATTGGTTTTGTTCCATACTGTTTTACAGTAGAGCTGTCCAAAGAGAGAGGCTATTATTAATGCCACTGTGATTTAGACAAATCGAGGCAGGAAGGAAGCAGCTTGCTCAAGGTTATACAGCTCATTAGCAGAGAGCCTAGCTCAAGAGCCCTGACCCAGAGCCACTTTGTATCATTGCTTTCTGTAGGGAAAGCTGGTCTGGCTCAGCATCTGGGGGCTCATATGGACTTGTCTGCCAAACGACTAGAGTCTACAGGACTTCCAGGACACAGCCAACATCAGGGAAGGCAGGACACCATTGCTCAGAAAGATGAGCAAGGAGCTAGGGCTGGCAAGCCCAGTCTATCCAAAGAGTATTAGCCCCCTGCCTCTGTGAAGAGAAGTTTATTCAACAAAATGCAGACGAGCTAAGAACACGTCCTGCTCTATGTGAGTCTTGTTGTAGGCTGTGCACATCTTGGGAGATGTGTGGATGAAAGGCACCATATAAAATGCAATCAATTATGAATCACCATTACTGAATTAATCACATGTATGATTAATACGGTAATAATAATTAATGGGCGTGTGATCTAGAGATTACAGCTGAGAACCGGCAGGGAGGAGCTGAGTGCAGCTTGCCTTGCTGCTGCCTCCTGGAGGCAGCACCTTGGGGAATGCCCATGAAGTGAGTCCTGTTCTTCATCTCTTGCACCAACATGGGCTGTAGAAATCAGAGACCCTGGGATGTCTCCAAACTCCTAAATGGTCCCAGATGTGTTCCAGGTAGCTGCCACCAATTCACTTCTATATCTCCACTGGTCAAGGTCAAAGGGACAAAGGGTTTCTCAAGAATCCAAATTTTGGTCTGGCACAGATATTGCAGCTACTGTGGGCGTGGTCGGAACATGAGCCAGACAACTCTGAGCTCAAGGCTCACTCACTTCCTTGGTGTTTGAGTTCCCTTGATGTGTCCCTCCTTCTGTCTGTCTGTGTTGGGAACCCCGGAGGGTGGGAGCTCATCTGTCACCTCTCACTGCAGAGCTCGGAGCTCATTTTCGCATGTGACTTAATAATTTCCTGTTACTCCTTGGTCCTTTTGTTTATTTCCTGATAGCAAAGATTTGGAAGGCGTTGGGAAGATATCTACAACAAGCCTGTCCCCTCCCCCATTCCCTGCTTAGGGCTTGATTATCTGTCTCTAGAGCCTTAGTACAGTCTCTCTCTATGTATGTGACACAAGCATATGCACACACAATGTATGTGACACAAGCATATGCACACACATATATTCTTAGACACACATTCCTTTTTAAAAATAAAGACCAGTGTCGTATCGCTGCAATGCTCTATGATGTTTTTCAGTAACGAACTTTTACGCACACACAATTCGAATTACAACAGAACAGTGAGGGCCAGAGTCCCACCAATGAAGATGATTAGGCTGCTGGAGAGGGGGAGCCATCGATGATTCTGGTGGGGGTGTTCATTAACACTTTTCTGCCCCTGGTGCTCAGCTGCTTTTCTCTGCCAGTGAAAGGTCATTTGTCAGAAAGCACCTTAATGCAGTTTAGAAATGAACGGGGGGCCGGGCCACCTGGTCCCTACATGGCTGGAATCCTATTCATTCCCGGGCACTTTATTATTCTTTGAAAGGAATGCCTTTTCTTGGAGGCTGCTGTGGAATGTGGCCAGTTCAGGATGGAAAAGCAGGGCCTGCACTGGCAGATAAATCCCCTTTTCACACAGACAGGGAAACTGAGGCTAAGAACAAGGAGGAGTTCTCCCCAAAGACACATGGTTAGTTAGGTGAGGAGCCAAGAAAACCCATTATCTGTACTGTGCTGTACTTTTGGTGGCAGCATCTTTGCATTCGTGGGTCACAAGAGCCATCCTAGTAGGACCAGCCCAGGGTCCCTGTTCAGATGAACTGGGAGTTAAAAGCATCTTCCTCCATGCCTTGTTGGCTGATCCTGACGGCATCCAGACACTGTATGATGTAACAGCAGGTCACTGCTGGGGATTGATGACCCTGCCTGGGAGAGACAGCAGGCCAAAGGCCTACAGGGTCATCACTCACCCTGGGCAGAAGCCCCACAGTGCGCCCGTCACTGCTGCCTGAGGCACAAATGCTTACAATCCAAGAGGCTGTGGTCTGTCTCCTTCCTTCAAGGAGTTTCCTCTAGTTGGAGGCATTGAGGCCAGGGTGGGAGCATGTGTGTGTTGGGGGGGGGGCATTGGCCTGCATCTGCTTTCCTGGACAGCTTAGTGGGGTGGCCCTTCTTTGAAATCTGAGGACGAATTCAAGTTGGCACTCACAAAAGGAAGGTCTTGCCATTCACACTTGACAGACGGGGAAACTGAGGCTCTGAAAGAACTTGTGTTATACCTCAAATAATCCAGCAAGCCAGGCAGTGGGGAAACATCCAATTAAGAACCTGACAGCCATCTCTCAAACCAAAATCTTCCTTAGTTGTGTGACCTTGGACAAGTTACTTAAGATCTCTGAGCTCCAAGCTGAGGTTTGCTAACAGGGGTTACATCACACAGCTGGGGAGAAACTAGGGACCGATGCACACAGGCCACTTTGCATGCAGCCTGACATGTGAGGTGTCCCATAAATGTTTATTATCATCATCATGACAATCTTTAATTCTGCATCTTCTTCTGGCATTGTCATAAGATTCCAAATGTTATAACCAGCAGAACAACCCTCTTTTAAGATTTAGGGGGAGATGTAACAGGGAAGGATTAAAGTGGATATGAATGGTGGCCAGTGGGGTGAGGTACTGAGGTACAAGCCTACCTTGTAACACCCTCTGTGACCTTGGACCAGTCTCTTCTCCTCTCTCTCTCTCTCTCTCTCTCTCTCTCTCTCTCTCTCTCTCTCTCTC